GACGGTAGGTCGTTTTTCTCGCACAGGTCCTGTCATTGATATCTGAACAAACACACACACACACACACACACACACACACTTTTATGATATAAACCTTTTGCATGACTACATATACTCATCATCTATTATCACGGTACTTATTGGCAAGAATGCCAAAACAAATGCCTGTGTTTTTTAATATTTCATCATTTTGCATGTGATAAAGTGAAGAGCCTGCAAATTTTTATTGAGCAAACCAAACCCCAAAATGATTTTTCTTTTGAAACATTCTAGAAGAAAATATTGTCTGGTCCGTTATTAGTTTTATAAATTCTGTAAATGTCGTTCAGAATGTACCGGTAATGCTTAATTCTAAAAAAGAGCGGGCAGTCTTTTAATAATTTAGATTGGTTTGATATTATATTACACCAATTTTCCATTATCATTTTTTACAGTTAATAACTGTACGATTCAGGCAATTTCAATCGTAGGAATTTTGAAAAAAGATCTTACCTAATAGTTAAGTAAAATTTATGTTTCAAATAACTAAGTGTATTTTATTAAATGCTTTTAGCAGTCAGATAATCATTACTTATATAGACATCGTTGATCTGATTAAAGTGATATATGACTATGCAAAATATTTTCAGTGCTAGTGTCTGAAATGTGGAGATTATTTCAACGCAAACTTTACACTTTAATAAGTAATCTGTTAATCTCAACTTTTAATGTAGTCCATATGCCGTGTTCTATCAACACAACATAGGTCATATGGCACCGGAAAACGAAAATTTTAATATGATTTCGCAAACCTCGAGTGTTACCCCAGGGGATACACACAATGTATCATATAAATCAGGGTGGTATTTATATAAATTGGATGATGTAATTGTTTTCTTTATGTCATCAGGTAAGAAAAAGAAAAACATACAAAAGACGAAACAAGAAAAGCATTGATGCAAAGCATCAAAGGGCGTCCAAGCAAGAAATGCAGCAAGTGAAGATGAACTAGTAGACATATGATGACAATATATTCTTATAAACTACCAGAAATGTAGATCACTTCTGAATGAGCGGACGAAAAACATTGTTCATTATGAACTTTGATTGGCATGCTAGAGATAAGAATATTACTTGTTATTACTTTATGATCATGGTTATTAATAGCAACGAATATACATGTATACAATCAATTATAATCCATATGTGTAACGCATGACCAACACGTACAACACGTTTGTAATTGTCCCTTATTATGTTATCGCTATTAGCGAAGACCCCCTCTTAAGGTATCTGTTCATATGACACTGGTTATATTACCATGTTGATCATGTTGAGCATAATTGTTAATTATACAATAATTGTAATATCTATTAATTTTAATAAAAAAAAATACAAATTTTATGAATATTGTTTTCTTTTCTTTTTTGTGTTTTATGTGCTATTTTAATATTGAGTTTTTACTACTCTTTTTTTATTAAAATTGTAAAATAAATTTTAAGAATTCAATTGACATATTGACAGACGATTATAAGTCAAAACTTAACTGGAAAAAGTCAGTAAATTATGGTTTATCTTTTAATATATAATATTGTTTATTCTTAAACCATGTACATGTACATTTGCATTTTTCTTTTTAATTTTTTTAAATTATCAATCAAATGAATAATTCATAAATCTAATTTGTAACTTTGAATAATTCCTCGGCATCTTTACTAAACATGGATAACAAATTAAATAAAATGTTTTAAAGTTGATAATGTCATATTAATACCATAAAAATGTACCTTTTTCTCAATTATTGTACATATTTATTGTTAGATAAAATGAAACATGCTATTGTTGTTGTTTTTTGCTTTTTAATTGTAACGATATCAAACATCTAATCCAAAACCGGGAGAGACCGGACAATAAACGTGTGGTACTATTCGCCGGTCACTAGTAAATCCCGGTCAAAATAGACCGGGAGAGACCGAGAATTACCGACAGGAGTGATAAATAGATATATCTATAAATAGATTTTCTGACTATTGAGGTCATCAACTGACATGTACAACAATAACATACCATGATAACCCACTGTGCACTACAAAATGATAAATAAAAAACCCCGAAGAGCGCGATTTATTGACGGAAAAGCTTATTTAATTTGAAAATGTTTGCATTGCGAAATTCACCAGTTCGCTATTCATTGTAACATATCGCGACATTTCATTCTTAATTAATAATCAAGCACCCTAATACTGATCGGAATGATCAGCTTTTATTATGACCGACTAAAAGGCTCGAGAAGTTGCTGTCGCCCTTTCACAAAATCTGATTTCATTTCATAAGGGCGCCGCGCTTCGGCGCGGACGCCAACAATAAACTTTACTATGGAAATCATTTTTTCTTCTTGTAAGAAAAAAGAACTATGTTTGTTGAAAAGCTCCGAGACGTGATGATGATAAACTTCATCTAGAAGACCAAAGCATTCAGAATGTAAGAATCGCGCCAGTTTTATTTTATGGGCTGCCGCATTTGGATGTCAGAAAGTTTTATTTTGAGTTAAAAGGTAAACAAAGGACCTAGTAGCAGACGACTGAAAACAGTATATTTGTAATCATTCAACAAACCAAGAAAAAAATCCGTTTAAAAAAACAATGTGTTATTCTTTATCATACATTGTATGCATTGTACAACTAAAATGTAAATGTTTTAATAATTTCTTCAACGTCGTGCTGCCTCTATTAATCGGATAAACCCATGTTTTATGAGTCATTAAAGAATCGTATGGTCTTGTTCAAGGTTAAATTGTTCAGCCTGTTATTACATGTTTCAAAGTCAAAGTAAACATCGTAGCGTTGTTAATTGAGCGACCATGGGCTTTTCTGTCATTGTTAGAGAGCGACCATGGGCTTTTCTGTCATTGTTGTATAGTTTTGACAAAGCATTTTACTCGCATCTACAATCAATCTCTCGCAAGTCGGCATCGTGTTTTTACAGGTCTTTCAATTTATAATCTCTGAGGGATATTAGAAATAATGATGATTTGACATCAGCAACATGTATGCCTACGACTTTGTTTTTATTAACTCAACTAAGCTATTACCAATAATTTATTTCAAATATAAATCTGCTTTAACACTTCAAAAGGTATCAGGCGAGGTATAAAAAGTACCGGATGGACTCGCAAAATTTCTGCAAGGAGTCCAAAGTGAGGTTGACATTTTACTAGTTTTCATAAGAGAGTCATAAGTCAAGATTTTGTTGGTTTTCGCTACTTTTGTGTGATTTTCGAAATAACACCAACCATACAAAAGATGCAAATTGATATCGGTTCCACATGACCACCTGTTGCTCCGCGCACATGTTCATGTGGTCTGAAAAGACGAAACCTTTGTGCATTAATTATGGCTGATGCTGCCTAATGATTTTAAAGGTGTAATGGTCAGTTTGGAGGAATATAATGCATAAAAAATTGATACTTTCAGTTTTAACTTTTTGAATGGCTGAAGAAACTGTTCTTTAATATAGTGTTTTTTGCAGTCCTTTATAAATGTGTATAATTTTATTGTAAAATGTTACTACGGGCAACTGTTTTGTCTGAAGATTCTGCTTAGAGCGATCGCGTGTATTGCAAATGAAGATTTTTAGGTATGTTTGAAATATACTTATTATGGCTGGTCACCGTGATTTCATTCTTGTTGCCAGGAATTCACTATACTAGGTAAAAGTATATTTAACAAGTAATGTCTTGATAAACAACTATATATGATTTAGCTACATTTCGCACACTTTTCAAGTTTCAGAAACAGAGTAATAAATTTTACCTTTTGGCGGATCTTACATTATTTCGAGGGAAAGAAAAACACACGCTATTGATACATTAACAACATCAGATCAATGATTTATAGCATTTACAAAGAACATATTAAATAAATTGCTATTTCGAAATGTTTAAACTTTTGTTTATCGCTTTCACTCCAACAGTCGATATAAAATCCATTATGGCCCTGGCAGCTTTTAAGTCAGGTTAAAAACATGTACATTTCTAAAGTACCTCTTAAATTTGATCTTCCTTTAAAAATTTTCATGAGAAGGACGCATCAATCTGATTAAAATCAGCTCCAAATAACGTTCCGCTTTTAGATCTGACCGTGACCAAATACGAAATCATTTCTGTTTACCTTTCAGAGAGCTTTCATAACTTTGAAAGCGGTGTGATTCTTTTTTAACCCTGGGAAAACAATACTGAGTAAGTAATTTTCACGATTTCAAGCAAACATGGCGTGGCCTATATAGACGACAGGTACACTGGCGAAACAATCTTGCCCATTAAAACTTGACTCTATTATTTCAAGTTAAGTTGTTACAAACTACTTCAAACATTATTTTCTAACAAAAATCAACAAGTTGTTTAACTCCACGGATAACGGAATTTTGATACTTCGTATTGCATGGCTAAAAATTGCTTTCTCGGGAAATACGAATTATAAAGAAGGCGAAACACATACGGTCGTCATCAGATCTACATAAAAGAAATAAGTAGATCTAAACTTTAGTCAGATTGAAGGACGCATATACATGTTTAGCCGAGCAGCTCTGACAACTAGATTCATCTAAAGCACATACTCGCCCCAGTAGCTTAGAGAACATATTGGTCCCCATTTTTCGTTCGAAGAAATTTGATAATAATTTATTTTACACATTCTGAGAATACGTTTAAAACTATTATTTACCAGATCGTTAATAATATACAAAGATGAAAATACCACGCTTGTCTGAACATCTCAAAGAATATAGTGTACACTATTTACTGAAGCATACCGTTATAAAGATATCTAAATTTTAGAATATATCATACATTTATACAACGTCAGTTAATATTAAATATACATTTTTGTATGTATCTGATTTGTATTCGACTTTTGTTGTTGTTGTTGTTGTTGTTGCTGGTGGTGTTTTTTTAAATGATACATTTTGTTCAAAATATTTTATTGATCATTGACAGCTAACAAAACTAATTTCATAATATCAATTCAATTCAATTCAATCTTTATTTAGCAATCGGCATAAATATGCCTTTGGCCATTTACAAGTTAATAATTATAGAATATGGCCAAGACAAGATAACATATCAATGTACAATAATAATTCAAATGCATATGATTAATCAAACACATAACATATAAACATTACAATACAATGAAAATAAATTTACAATTAAGGACTGTTTGTCTGTAAAAATTCATATTAACATAAAAGAAAAATTCAAAATTGTCTGTATATTTTCACGTGTTCCAATTTTTAATAAGATATTGGTCATTTAGGTAAACTTTTGTTAAATTTTCATCCAATGAAGTTTTTGTCCACTCATGAATTCACTTAAAAGATATTAGCACAAATATCCATTGCACCAGTTGTTTAAAGTATGTTTGTAAGATCTTGTCTAAAAGCAAGATCTACCATTCCTCGGCCTGCCAAAACAGCAAACCTGGGAAGTAGGGTTGAACGCTGTTCTCCCACAACATGCCCAATTCAATCCTTTATAATTTAACATGCCATTGCAACAAATCGTGTTAATATGATTGTACGGAAATGCCCCACAACATGACGTATTTATTCCTCTAGTCCACTGCACGCCATTACAACAAATTATGAATAAAGGGTTGTAAGTTCTTCCGCCGCATACAGCTACATAAAAAACAAAAATTATGAAATGTACAGTCTTTTACATAAACCATCAATATAAGTAATTTCTTCAAATTTATGTAGAAAAATTAAATAAACTGTTAAAAGAATGAAACTCAGTCATCAAAATCCACCTTGTTTAATTAGGATCTGTTTTATTTAAAAAGTTGCAAATATTAATTACAAATGATTGGTTAAATTATATTAAATCTTTTATGTCTAGGACCTCATTTAGCATCGAGGCATATGGAAAAGGATACAAATGCTACCAATTTACTTTTTGTTAACATGCACACTATGTGCCAAATACAAATATCTCATTACTCAACAAGACAGCGTCTGAAATTCCACCCAGAATCCTTATCAACCCAAAATCCAGTTACAGTTACAAATATGTAAGCTATCGACATAACAACTGGCTTAACCCGTACATAAAGTAATGTATTACCTCCATCTGTAGTCCCAGAACAACAGAAAAGAAAGGCCAAAAATGCAAATAGCACTACTTTCATCTTGTATTCTTCTCGTCTTTGTTTTTGTTTTTATCTACAATAAATCGTGGTAATAAATAGAATATATGACGCCAGAAACATTTCGTATCTGAATAAACATGGAATTGATAAATAAAAATAATCCTACCAAAACTTATAGAAAATTGTTTGCTGATGGATGTCTATGATACTAGTAGTTAACTTTTACTATAAATACTTAAATAGTTATTATTTTTGGAGTGGATATGAGTTTTTATACAAAAATATTGGAATTCATTTTTTTATTATTGCAAATAATGATAATTATTATTAAAATTTTAATCATCAATTATAGTTGTAATCGTCGAATCATGGTGATGGATAATGCTTATTCTAGTAATGAGAATTATCAAATTTATAATTACAGTGATGATAATGCTTATTCTAGTAATGAGAATTATCAAATTTATAATTACAGTGATGATAATGCTTATTCTAGTAATGAGATTTATCAAATTTATAATTACAGTGATGATAATGTTTATTCTAGTAATGAGATTTATCAAATTTATAATTACAGTGATGATAATGCTCATTCTAGTAATGAGAATTATCAAATTTATAATAACAGTGAAGATAATTCTTATTCTTGTAATGAGAATTATCAAATTTATAATAACAGTGAAGATAATTCTTATTCTAGTAATGAGAATTATCAAATTCATAATTAAGTGATGATAATTCTTATTCTAGTAATGAGAATTATCAAATTTATAATAACAGTGAAGATAATGCTTATTCTAGAAATGAGAATTATCAAATTTATAATTACAGTGATGATAATTCTTATTCTAGTAATGAGAATTATTACTTTTATGATTAAAGTGATAATAATGCTTATTCTAGTAATGATCATTATCAAATGTATAATTACAGTGGCGATAATTCTTATTTTAGTGATGAGAATTATCAAATTTAATTACAGTGATGATAATTCTTATTCTAGCATTAATCAAATTTTCAAATTGATATTTAAAGTGATGATAGTTGTAATTCTAGTAGTAATCATGACAATCAAAATTATAATTATTGTATTGATAATTCTAATTTTTATTAACATCATTATTATCATAATCATTGTCTTTATGTTATTTATGTTGTTAATTATATCATCAAATTTATAACTGTAGTACATGTACTGCAGAAATAAAAATAATGCTTGTTTTGTTAATATTTCAACATCAAAATTAAAATGTTCGTCATATTTATGCATATTTTAATAATTCAAATCATATTAACGAAAGTAATGCAGTTTTTAATATATCAGCTAAGTTTAAAACATACATACCTAAACTCTCCTTGTAAGATATTGTTATTCAGGAGCTCAATACTTTGCTTAAATACTATCTGTATATCCTGAATTATACAAAAACTGTTACTCATAATTTTATGGAAGAAAAGCAACCGATGATGATGAACAAATTCATTATAAGTTTTTTATTGTTTATTTTGTGTCGCCAGCCAGTCTGAAGTTAATCGACATTTTGCTTTTTCAATAAGAAAATCCGGGTTGCGAATCAGAATCAGATATTTTAATGACAGGATAAATGCTTATTAGAGATAGAGATGTGAAGCATAACAATTTGAACGATTCCATGAAATGTTGGGGTTTTTTTTGTCGTTTTAAATATGATGTTTTCAATTTAAGATAAATGCATTACTCACTTACTAAATCAATTAAAGATAGATTTCAAATAAATATATGTTGCATATTGATATGCAAAAAAGAAAAGTTAAAACTGTTCTTATTGAAGTCTTATTTAATTTGCAAAACCAATTTCCCTTTTTCATCTTTGCTTTTCAAAGAATCTTCATTTACATTTGTCAATAAAAAAGATAATTAATAAAAAACAAGATTAAAGATGTAAAATTGTAAAACCAGTTTTAAGTTAAAGTGTATTTCAGGGATCGCAATTCTAGATTACATAATTCATAATTCTAAATACTTTATTTTCCCTTATTTTGCAATAGTTAAAAGCACAAAAAACATCAACCACTTTAAACCTTAACATATATTTGCTTTGAAGTCACTGTAGTTTACTCAGTGATTATACCGGAGGTGAATAAAACATGTTTGTTTGTTTTTTTGTTTTGTTTCTTGCAAAATGCCCCAATCGCAATCGGACTGTTTTGTTGTTGTTTTTTTGTTGTTGTTTTTTTTTTGTGTGTGTTTTAAACATCCCGTGGCATCGAATGTAAACTCTTTTTTTATTCTATAAAACCGTTAGAATATCAAAAATAATGTAGCACACCAAAGATTGGCTTTAGTTATTGATATGATTTAAAAGCATTTAAAGTTTTACTGCCTAGTTTAGTACTGAAAATGGGATAAAGTTTGTTTCCCCTAAGTGCTCTCACTCGGACTTCCAAACAAAATTTATCCCGTTTTCAGGCTTAAATCAGATTATAATACTTGACGGTTTTCTTTTTAAATTAAATCAAGTACTAAAGCCAATCTTTTGTGCACTACATTATTTTTTGACATTCTACTGATGTCTTAGAAAAAGAAAAATCTATCTTCGAGTCGACAGAAAGAAACTGCCCGATTGGGATCACATTGCAGGTGCGCAATGACCTAGTATCCTACCATCGATGTTAACATACTTTAAGTACTGTTATGTCATAAGTACACTTGTCCTGAAAAACACTGATAATATTACTTGTCAGGATAATGGTCTACTGCTAAGTTAGGATAATTTATAGAGTGAACGCCAGGTCGGGGTGTTTAAGGGCCTTGTATGAGGTCCACTATTTATCGGTGTTTGGTTAAGGCCAAGTTGTAGTGAAATTGAAACGTTCTAGGATGTACATTTTTCGCAAAATTGACATTAATTCTAATTTCATGCCTTTATTACATGATGAAGGATTTTATAGCATTTCTTCGTAATCCTGGTAATTTGTTTCGCTGTAAAATGTCAATTTATTTTAAATCATATCTAGCAAGTGTGTTCGACTATATAATTACTAAATGAAATACATATATGTACACACATTGCAGAAACTTTAAGATCAATTGGCAGTTTTGCATTGATGTACGCATGACAGTAATTCATTATTACCGGTTTACTTTTATTGACAATATAACAAACCTACTTATGTATAATAATAATAATAATAATAATAATAATAATAATAATAATAATAATAATAATAATAATAATAATAATAATAATAATAATAATAATAAAATCTTTATTTAAAGAATATAATTAACAAAGTTTACACAATAAGAAAACATGTATACTTATTTTCAGTACGGCCTTCTGATTTAACAACAACAAAGGACAAAACAAAACAAACAAAAATCAATAGATCAGTAGATCTATACAAAATTTGAAATCCTTTTGTTCAAACAAAGAAAAAACCAAACAAATATATTCTTTTATAAATTCATTCATTCATTCGACTGACGCACATTTTAATCATCGTAATTATAGATAAACTCATAATAATAAATAATGATTATATCAACAATTACAACAACTACAATTATAAAAATCTGGAAACAAAGTGATCACTCGGAAGCATAAATCACAACAAAATTACAAGAAAATTGCAGACTCGGTTTGATTGAGTCTGTACATGAGGGATAATGAATACTTGAAACATCCCTCACGCCCCTAGCACCGGCTTGAGTGGTACTCAATTCTCAACACTTAATAGTGCTGGCATCAATGATCCCGAAGGACCAGAAAAATTTAACAACACTGAAGTGAAGTACGGGGCAACTTTTTACAGCTGCCACACAGCACTTGACACCTGCTGTTGTGAAGTATAAAAATCTGGAAACAAAGTGATCCCTCGGAAGCATAAATCACAAGTTGTCAATTTTAATCATTTTCATCAAGCATCTAATTGTAAAATAAGAAAAAAAATACAGCTATTTTTGAAAGATTGAAAAGTCTAACATTGTTTGATACTAATAGGTAATTTGTTAGAAATTAGTAAGAAAAAAATCATTTAGATAATTAGTATGAGGTATAGTTTTTAGAACCGATTAAGAGAGAAAAATAAAAATTCACTCATATACAACGGTGCCAGATTATTAAAAAAATTATACACCATAATTGTTGTGTGGTATTTCAATATAAAACTAAGAACACAATATTTGAACCGAATAAATGGCACACACACACGCGCGCGCGCGCTCGCGCATACACACCAACACACACACGCACGCACGCACGCACACACACACACACACACACACACACACGCATAACAAACACTCTCATAATGACACACACACGCATGCACGTACACTAAACAACTAACTAACTAATAATCATAATCATACTTTAAATCAATTGATATGCTGTAAAATAAAGCATTTTATATGGCGGAAAAATAAAATTATTGAAGTGTAGATGGATTTCATTAGCATGAGGTCCATTAGAAAGTACCATTAATTAATGAACGGTTGACGACGTTACTCAATTTTTGAAGCCATTCAAACTTCAATACCCTGTATCTTTAAAAGAAAAGTATTTTGAAAGGTATTTTTAAAGGTATGATTTGGAATATCTAAAGACAAAATGTTGACATTTACGAATCGTATCTTAAAATGATTTATAATCATGAGAAAACGTAAGTTTTTGTGACTTAAAAATGCCGCATGTCATCGGAAATTGTTGTTATTTTCAATCATAATTCACACAAGAAAAGCATTGATGCATAGCATCAAAGGGCGTCCAAGCAAGAAGTGCAGCAAGTGAAGATGGACTAGTAGACATCTGATGACCAGATATTCTTATAAACTTTTCAATGGTTAATTGGTTTTTACCAGAATTGTATATCATTTATGAACTGGCAGACAAAAGACATTGTTCATCATGAACTTTGGTAGGCATGCTTGAGATTAGAATATTGAATGTTTTTCCTTGAACTTCTATCAATATTAACGATAATATCCAAAATATACAGGTCTATAATATCCAAAATATACCCTCCCTTTATGGTAAAAGTTTATTTATATTATAAAGAGGGTAATTTTGGATATTATCATTAATATTCGTTATTTGTTAGAATTTCAAGTTAAAGTGGTATTTTCTTTGGAACATAAAAAATAGTTGTCAAAATAGACAAAGTCTGTTAATTGATTTATTGGGAGGTCAATCTACTATTTTAATGAATTACTTCAAAAACCTCGTCTGACCCACCTGAGTGTTTACATTCCTGTCAATAAACCCATAACAACTCATGTTAAAATTACAGACGAAAGTTTCTGTTGTTAAAATGTCACAATATTCGGCAAATGAATTCATACTACCCTTCACAGTTGAACAGCGAATATGTTTTATAGTATACTACTGCCAAAATAAAAGCGACATTTAAAGTTATGAACTAGGTCTATTTAAATATTCACGGTGCAATCAGGGCCGTAAAAAAAGAAAACTGGAGAGACCTACGGTAAGACAATTTCTATGATACAACAATTCGTAAAAATGGCCTACTTAATTTTTTACTATAGATTTATAAAGAGTGCAATTAATTGTTTAAATCTGTTTCTGCAAAATTCTCCTGTCATAGTGCAACACGAATGACCGTTTCGTTAAACTAGAACTACTTCTTTAAATAGATTTTCGGACTTTAACAATGTCAAGGTCATCATTCTATTTATAGGTACAGCAGTAACACACATAATACCGGTAACCCACATGATTAATAAACACAAACCGAAGAGTGCGATTAATTGACGGATAAGATAATATCATTTGAATGTGTTTGCATTGCGAAATTCTCAAGTTTGCTTTTCATTATACATATCCCTACATCTCATTTTTCCTCATATCAATCGGAACGATCGGCTATTATGATAGACGAAAACGCCCGAGAAGTTGCAATTGCCCTTTCACAAAAAAAACTGATTTCATTCCATAAGGGGCGCCAATAAAGCTTGCACAAGGCCAGAAATTTGTTAGCAGGCTCCTTCAGATGTTAACTATGAATACATAACATTGATTTACTCAAACACATTCGGGATATGTTAAAAATAGATAAATACTTACCGTCCGCCATTGATGTATTTTATACCGACATGTATATGTATATGAGACTGTCGACGCGTTAAACGGTTGTCTACCCATTTGATACTATTTGAATCAAATACGCTCGTATGCGCGTCATTTTAGAGGCATAAATGTTTTGTTTGTTTGTTTGATTTGGGTTTAACGTCACACCGACACAGTATAGGTTATTTTGCGACGTTCAAGCTTTACTGGTGAAGGAAAACCTCAGGTGCCCCTCCGGGCAATTTTTTCAGGCACGAACGGGCACCTGAGTAGAACCAACGACGTTCCGTAGCAAGCTGGATAGCTTTATCACATGAAAGAATCCAAAGTCTTTGTCGGGATTCGAAAGCGGTGAGGGGAAAGCGGTTTGAAGTCAACGACCACAGGCATAAATGTAATAAATACAAATGTATTAATTAGATAAAAACG